CCCATTTGCAGTACTTTGTATAGCAGGTTTTTTTTTTTTTTTTTTTTTTTTAATAATCCGGACATGTACGCCCATCCGGACAGGGATCCGGACAGGCCGATCCGGACATGTCCGGATTAACCGGAAAATACCGGAAAACCGGATGTTCGGATGAAACCGGGAAATCCGGTTTCCGGTGTCCGGACTTGTCCGGTTCACTTGTCCGCTGCTGCCATGCTCCACATACATCGCTCGATTGAGCATGTGTGTACCATGCAGCCACATGGACCGGGCCAGTCACATTGCCTGTTCTCATTGGCTGTGTGAATATTCCTCCCGGTCACCTGTTCTCCTTAATGTGCCTTATGCTTCTGTGCATATCGCACCTTTTTTTTCTGCAAATAACGCTAGCCTCATGGCTATGGCTCTGAAAAGCAGGTTGTACGCTTCGTGTTATGGAATTTGTTGTGGTCGACAGTCTGATCAAATTGGCACCAACCAATAACTCCTATGGGTAGTGCTTGTAACCTCCTGTGGGGGCTTCTTCTGTTACCCTGAACAAGTATTCCCAATCTGGAGCACTGACGAGCTGATCCATTCTTGCTACTTGTCAGGTGAGAGACGAGGCAGAGAGCATAAGGATGCAGTTCAATACAATTGGAGGATTTATTGTGCGGAGAAAGCAGGGTAAAGGAAAGAGCATTTTTGGAAGGTGAGATTTTCTTCCTTTTCAGCAAGCAGGCTGGCAGTTTGGCAGCTTTTCACCCTATTTCTGTACCTATTTCGACATTTGGAATAACTTTTCTTGGTTTTCGATTTTTCAAAGGGGGTATCCTCTCTCTAACATTGCTGTATCCAGGATGCTGTCTCAGGATCTCTTGGCTATAACGGTGGGAAGTATTGAGTGAGTGAGAGTATGTGAAGGATGTTGGACGCAATTTCCAGCACATATACAAGGTTTTTTTTTTTCTTAATTATTAAAACAGGTCCTTATGGTCCTGGCTCCATATCCAATCTGGGGAGCGTCCTCCTGTTCGGGAGGATTGACTGTCAGCTTGCCCTGCCCTAGTTTTCCTCTCAGATACCCTATTGTTTCTGTCGGATGGACTGCGAGTAGCAAGGGAGAATTGTTTTCCTTCTGAGACGATAATTTAGGGCCCGACAAATTTGTTTCGTTCATCTAGATGTCTGGATTTCAACTGGGGTTTGTATTTCAACAGTTTATGGGCGTACAAGCAGGGCTAGCCCCGGTGGTGTACAAATCTGATTCTTGTATATAAAAAAAGAAGAAAAACAACATTGTTGTATCCACCTGATTCCGTCGGGTACTGAGCACGTGGCCTGTTGACTAATTTGAACATGTGTGCAGTGACTGCAGTGCGCACTGTTCAGAACTGTGTGGGCTGGATCGGTTGGAATAGTTTTAATGCAAGTAGTGGTGAAAATTTTCAGGTGATTCAAGTGCCAATGCATTTTCAGGCTCAGGAGTCGTTGACTCACAAGTTTGAGATTTACTCGTGTTGGTTTAGGTGCCATGCGTGTGGTGTTATGTTCATCCAATCAACTCACAACCTCAGTGTAGAGTGGTATGGAGTATAATTATTAACTGTTGTCAGGTTATTTCTTGTGCTTTGTAATGCAACAAGAAGTGTGATCCTGATTGACTTCAATGGCAGTGCTGCATTTTCATCTTGTGTGATTGATTGATTGATGGGTCGAACAACCGCTGCTTATTTGTGTTTCTCTGGTTCTACAAGCGGGGGAGTCCTCAACGTTGAAGTTGTTATTGTTATCCAGCGTTTAATTATTTGACTCATTGATTGGAAAGGCCTAACTTAAGGTCTAACTTTTGGTCTCCACCCACAACAATCCAGCAGGGTTCAACTCTTGTCTAACAGTTCTGTTCAGGTTCGTTAACTGCAACAAACACAGGAGTATTCATACATGTGTGTGTGTGTGTGTGTGTGTGTGTGTGTGTGTGTGTGTGAAATCCAAACTCGTCTTCTTGTCACTTTGTCATGCCTGCAAACAGCGGTACAGCAACTGGCGACATGCGCCCACACAGTACTCAAGATATCGTAACCAGATATGAGTTCTCTTCAACTGGCTATGGCGACTG